TAAATAATTGTGATGATAGTTATGAAAAAATCAAACTTTTAAACATTTTACAGTTTGCGCCGTGAATCAATATAGATTTTTCCGGAGTATGCGCGAGTTTCATCCCGGCACACAGCAGCGAAACCGATATCGGAAACTCTGTTCGTAAATCGCGGAGTTTATTCACCAAACGGGATAGATAACGCAGCGCGCGATATTGCGCATTCGCCTGATCAATACGTTGACACCTTTCAAAGCGAAAGCGAGATTTTCCGAAATAACGACGAGGCGAATTTAAAGCATAAAAAGTGTTATTTTGAGATTTTTGTTCACTCAATTGCGTGTGCGCAAATTCTCGCAGATTAAAGAAACAATTGAAATTATAGTTTGCACGTGCCGGAAAAAAGAACGTAATTTTACACTTTTATCTCTTGCTTAAATAAGTAGATAATCACATTATCATCATACGCAGAGAATAATAATCAGATTTCTACATTTACGTCATATATTAACCTTTTTAAATTTCTGAGAAATTGCAGAATAAAATAGAAAAGATGTATAATATTGCTTTTAGCAGTTCGTCATACAGTATGTTGAAATTATCAAGCTAGTATTTCTCAGCGTATTAAAAATTGCAAGTTATATCAGCGAACCAAAAATTGCGCCATCTCGCTAATCATATACTTGCAGCACGTAATCACAAGAGCAACAGTTTCTTTGTTTGCCATAATTTAATCAAGCCTGCCTTTTCAATAATAATTATAAAATTTGTTTTATTCCGGTCCCTCCGCAACAATTTCTCATGAACCATTCAATACAGCCACTATTTTACGCGACGAAACGCACCGAGAGAACTGCAAGCTCGATGAATCTGCCAAAAAGTCACTCGAACATCTCGCGCGATCGAACGGTCCAAACGTAAGCAAAAGCTTGGCTCGCTGCCGCCGCGGAGACTGCAAGCTCGCATCTTAGGCGGTGCCGTGCCGGCCGGCCGTTTTCCCCGGCGAAGCTTTCGAAATCGTGCCGCGGGTCCGCAGCCACGGGCCGACCAGGAGCCAATCGACCGACCGGCCATGGTGCGAACGCCAGTCACCGGGTCGTTGTCCTGTGACGCCACAGAGAGCTTTGTGGCCCGTGCCCGAGCTTACAGCTATCGTCGCTGCCGATGGCGTAGAGTGGAAGGGGATAGGACGATGGAGGGGTACGGTAGGTTGTCGTGACGTCACACGTGGTAAACGCCACCGGCGATGGACCAAAAGCGCACGCGGGTGGGAGAGAGAGAGAGAGAGAGAGAAAGTTGGTGCGCCGTTCCGTGATGTCATTGACTAAATGGCAACGTCGTCGTCGTCGTCGTCGTCGTCGTCGTGTGGGAGAGGGAGGGACACACGCGAAAAGAGGGTATAACGGACGGGGAGGGCAGGCAGGTGTTTTAGGAACGAGAGAAGGGGTTGGAATACGAGCACGGGGCTATTCTTGGACGCCTCAAAACACGCCGTCCTCGCGGCCGCGAGCCGTGCGTTGCGTAACTACGTGGGAGAGCTTTTCTGAAGGAGGCGTTCGCGCGAAATGGCCCTCGCACAAGAGGAGAGGTGAACAAGAGAAATCGAGCGGAACGGCGGAAGAGAGAGAGAGAGAAAGAGAAAGAGAGAGAGAGAGAGAGAGAGAGAGAGATAGAGATCAATGGATGAATCTCACGGTGACATAATTACGCGTTTGATTGATTCCACTATTAAGCCTGAGGTGATATGGACTTGTGAAAAATCGAGTTTTAATGCGTGGAATTTGATTCAAATTATGTTTAAATGCGTTTAGATCTTATCTTATATACATACATGCTCCGAAAAAAAAAACAGACCAGATTTAGTGCAAAAAAATCTTCAATCAATTTGTGTGAAATCAATTATTTCTGAAAAAAATATCGAGATATCACTAGTTTTTGATTTATAAAGGATTGAAAACTCACAAGAATAATATTAAATACTTTCTCTCGTTTGTGTTAAATTAATCGATACGATTTTTGAAAACTATAAGTTAATTTAACAATCGTTACCAGAAAGTTTCCTTGTTGAAATGAAAACGATTTGTCAAAGATGTCTCTTTACCCTTGACAGCTTCGCTCCATTAAACGCAAAAGGGTTAGCGTTAACGAACATGTCTATGACAGGATAATTGATATACGCTCTTATCTATCTGCAATTTTTGCAGTGCGAGACTATTAATAATCGTTCTTTTAATTTAGATAAAAAATTTTTTTCCACGTTATATATATCCGTAAAAGCGAGTCGGTCGATGATTACCAATTATATTTTCATCACGGATTCGTTACAGTCGTGATTTATCTCTTCGCGATTGTATTATTTATCTTAATTAACTATCAATGAAAAAAAATGAAGCTACGTATTTCATCGCGACATTATGCATTTATGAATTTATCGTTCTTATTTTTAATAATTATAACTTTTATTCGCGCCCTACATTTAACGCGTATGAGACTTTTTTATTTTAATATCTAAATGTTTTAATTAATTAATTGATTCTAATGTTTTAAATTATTTTATCTCTTAAAATTTTTATTTATCTTTTAAAAATATTTTAAATGTCTTTTTTATTCTCCCCATAATTTTGAACTTTATTGTGACGCTACAATTCAGTCGTTAAAAGTTTCGCGTAATTAGCCAACTGCAGTCGTATCTAATGTATAGCGCAAACGTAGTTCGAAACTCGACAGTCCATTGATTAATTTTCTATGCCGGTAACTGTACCAATATAGGTAGATAGGTAGGTGTATAAGAGTCCCATGCAAGGCCGCAGGTTATAAAGCTCGCGTTAATTCTCATGAAAATACGCGCTCCTTCCATGATTCATAAATCGATTCCCTCGAGCCAAATGCAAAACGGTCGATGCAGTAAACAATTCGATAGTTGTAATCCGCTACGCAGTTGGCTTTATTTATTCATCTCACATATTGGAGGAAAATATAATCGTAAAGAGAAACAAACCGCCTTAAAATTGCATTATATTTCCAAAAGCAACACAAATAATCAAAGATAAATAACGTCAACATAAAAATATATGAGTTTGCGTAGCCTCGAGATAATTACGATTGGAAAATCGCCCATATCCCAAAGCGTCCTACTTTTCCAGCAGACTTTTCATAGAAACTATCGTATATGTTTTCCTTCGGCTTGCGAAGTGGCCGTCAACGTTACATGATACGCGGACGCTCTGGGAAGAGCGAGAGTTTGTTATTTCAACAAAGGGTGGGAATCACCGGGGGCACGTAACTATTCCACGCTTCTCCTACGCTAACATTCGCCATGTTTTCGCCCCGGGAAGTGTCAAGTGCAGGCTGTTCCTCGCGCGTTTCATTCCATCGACACTCCTGCTCTCTGTGTAGTGCGAGATTTAATTAAGCCTCTTAATTAACGCGTCTCGCAAAGGAGCAAAGTGCCCGTTCGTCTTGCGCCCGAGAGAGAAAAGCGGAAAAGTAGGCGATCTTTTCATTCTGCTGCAGCGTCAGCCGGACGCTGAGAAACACGAGAGGAGATGAGAACAGGATGGGAACACGTTTGTACTAATTGTGCTGTCGCAGCAGTCGTTAACTCGAGTAACAGTAACAATTACGTGTTTTGTTAATTGATCACTGATAGGTAATTACGTACTACTTCTCGTCTACGATAAGGGTGATGATCGCTACGTTATTATTACGCCGACCGTACACGTGTGTTCTTGCACGTTCTTTAAAATAAAAAAGAATTTTCGCGGAGTTAATTTTGTTTATGGAATAAAAGAGAGTTCATTATTTTCTTTTTCATAAAAGTATCGCTCGAAAAATCCGGAAAAAGTTAAACTAGTTATATGAATCTACATGACGGCACTTGAGAAGTGGGAGGTTCTGCACTATGACTATGATAAATTATATAGTGGTGACTATTGATTTCACCGCGGCTTAAGGTCAGACGCTACGGCAAAATCGAGTTCGAAGTAACCAGTGGCCTGCGAACAAATTCAATCTTTTTTGCTCCAAATAACGGAGCTCTTGCTACATCCGTCTTACATGTGAAAAAGCCTCCTAGCTGATTTGCTCCGAAGGAAGAAGTTCCCGGATAAATACATAGGTTCAACACGTAATTGTGTAAAAAAATTAATATAAAAATAAGTATAAAATGTAGCATAAAAAAATGCCCATTAAAAATCACGTTTCAAAAATAATCCTGCGTAAAAAAAAAAAGAGTATATTCTGCCATCAAACTTAACAATTTTTAATTTAATATTAAATGATACGTCTTTGTATAAATTTCTAGTAACACCTATCTTGGAAGAAAGAGATCCAGGATGGAGGACGGGATGAAAGATGCCTACTACGTTTGCGACTTTCCTATACTAGCGGCCAATAAATCACCACGTGCGACAACGCGTTATATTGATTTATTTCCGCCGGCGATAACCGTAAAGTTAGCGCGATACTTTGTGTTTATCACGGCCACGACGGAAACGTGCAAGATGTTTCCGTGACACTATCCGGTATAGACGCAAAAAATATTGCCATTGAAACAATGTCATTCGAACGACGAGAAATTAAGAATATTCGGATTTCGAGTTCGCGGAAAGAATTTTTACAGATGTCTTTAGGTTGAAATATGTTCCCTTCTTCACGTGCCTTCTTTTCTACATACATAGACACGCGCAAGGACAATACCATTTTAAACATGTCACAGTATATTATGCATGCATGACAAACGTATAACTAAACTGTCATAAACCACAAGTGGAGAATTAAAAAGCGACTCCAAGTATTTTTATTTACACGCTTACGTATCCATACAGTAAACTATATCCCTTATCGTGTATTTAACATTAAAGTATATCAGAAAACTTTATATAATCCAGATGGGCCGTCTCTCGTTATTCCCATAAATCGATATTTTTAATTATCGCGATATAGCAATATTATCGCGAGATAAACAAATAATTTTTTGCTGCCGGCGATTAAGTGACCTAATTGACAGTTCAGTACTCACCGTCCTTTCTGTAGTAAAGGATCTCGAAGTGCTTTTCGACGCCAGCGGCGAGGGCGTCTCGCAGGGCCGCGACCGCGTGCGGTGACGTCATTGGTCCATGTAGGAAGTCGCAGACCGCCGGACGCTGCATCACCTCGGCCCTTGAGAAGCCCGTCAGCCGGCAGAAACCGTCCGAGCAGTAGATAATGTGGCATAGTCCCTGTTGCGCATTCGCCACTAAAAAGCTTCGATCTGCAACGGAGCAAGTAGAGGACGATCAGTTTAAGTGACCTACCTACGGTCTCGTCGTTCTTGACTGGTTTTATTTTTTCAACCTATATAATGAGATTCCGAAAGGGAAAACCAAACACGAGGTATTTTGGTTTCCTAATAATAGCGACGGTCGCACACGCTTCGTTAAATCCGCCGAGACTTCAATAGCTCATTAAGATACGTAGCTACGACGTATTCTCGGAATATCTAAATTTAACCAGATTCACCGTAAGCCTATAATATAAGATGGACGCTACGCTCGTTAACAATAATCCGGTATGCGACCTGGCATTTATATTTACTCTCCGATCGCTCGTGCGCGAAGTGGCAAATTAACGCCAACTGCCATTTCGCCTACACGTACGCGTATATACCTATAGTTTCATGGATGGTACACTATTGTGTTAAGGGATATACCACGCTACATTGTTTTTCCCTTTTTCCCAATATCATTTGTCTCGTTTGGGTAAAACGCTTCCGGCAGGTTTTATCTATAGTTTCATGGATGGTACACTATTGTTAAGGGATATACCACGCTACATTGTTTTTCCCTTTTTCCCAATATCATTTGTCTCGTTTGGGTAAAACGCTTCCGGCAGGTTTTACAAGTCCGTTCTATCGTATAGCGACTATAACGGATTTATCCCAACGCGCGCTGAAAATTTCACGCGTCACTTCTCATTGCTGACGTAATAACAAAATATGAATATACGACTGGTCGAGTCTGGTCCATCGCTCCCGTGGGTATTCCAGAGATTCGCGATCGTCCAGCATCGATCGTCATGGCAACGCGCTGATGGCGAAATCGCTAAAATTCGCTCCAAGCGCGGCGACCTTCGTCCTAAATCCGGCGACAGCCTGAAAGTGAACACCATAAAATATTTCTGTGCCGCGGCCATTAAGGCCGTCTGCCACGCGACTGTAAGTCGGCTTCTCGAGACGGCACGCTCTCTCTCTTTCTCTCTCTCTCTGTCTCTCTCTTTCTCTCTCTCTACGTGCCTCGTCAAGAGGGACGCGAATTATCCGACACTGGATACACCAGCCGCATAAGTGTTTCGAATCACCATCGTGTCTTTCAATATCCTCGTGCTTTAGATTGAAATCGACTTTATTTCCTGTTGACAAGACTGGAGTGCGGCACGCGTCAGCTGGCGACGCCGCCACCGCCGCCGTCGCCGCCGCCGTCGACGCCCGACACTGTCGGTCATTCCAAGAATTTATATCGAATGCATGTGACTCACTCTGAGCTGTTATGCGAAGCTTCGCAAATGACATTCTACGTAGAAGAATCGCTTTCAAGAGATGCCCGGGGGCTTCTGTTGGTCAACAACGCGAATAGATAAAGTGGAAAAAGACCGCGACTCGACAGACGCGGAATACAAATCTTTCGGAGTTTGAATTTTTTTCTCTGCGCGTGTAAAAAAAAAAAAAAAACAAGAATACATATATATCTCTTCTCGCTTCGCAATCTAACGCGCAAGATCACTAGTGAGAAAAGAAATTCTTATAAATCTTGATGAAAAGAAATGAAAATGAAAGGTAATGTTCTAGAGGAAGGTAGTCGAGCCAAGAACGCGAGAAATAATGACTCACGGATACGCAAGACTGGTTGAAAAGCTCGTTTGGCCGCGAAATGTTCTATTTTAACGAGATAAGCACGTTTTCTCATACGCGCGGTAATTCTTCTCACGCGAAGCATCGCGCAGTCGCACTTCGGAATTAATTAATTAGAGACGCGCGCGTCGCGCGCTGTTTCCCGAACTGCGGATACGGCGGTCGTCGCGGTTTACGTATGTGGGAGAGAACGGATATTTCCGTTCGAATATCTCGCCGGGTGTATGCATGTACAGCGTGCGATCGAGATATTAATACGAGCGATCGTTTTCAAGTGCATTTCAAGTGGTCGGCGTTATGGCGCACCAGAATCCAGGAGAAATGTCAGTCGCTCCGAGCGTCACAACTGCTTTGCGTGCCACGGGCGCCGCCGTGCCCTCATATTCCACCGCGTTACGTACCTGGGCATTCTGCGAAGGACAATTGGGTTTAATGAAGCCCAAATTGAAAATACAACGATAAGCGCGCGCGTGGTATGCGCAACGTATATAAGATTAATCATTCGCCGTCGGATATCCGGAACAACATCACCTTGCATATCGCGTGACTGCCTTCCCTCTATGCCGCGTGTTGCCGCTATGGATTACGTCTTATTGAATTACTCCGGAGATTGACTCTACACTATCGTTTGCTGTAACGACATGGCGTAATCATCGGAGCAATAAATTCAACTACCAACACGGGTTAATCAATTATTGCGGAGCGTAGTGTAATTAATTTTGGTTAAGTAAGTTTTAATAATCTTACATGCATTCGAATATGCATATATACACATGAACGTAATAATTATTAATACAGTAATAGATTGCACAATATAGCATGTGTACGTACTTATGTACGTGATACGCTGCGTGAGAAATTAATTTTAAATAAAATATACCCTCCCCCTCTCCTCAAGAAAAATAATAGTAAATAATTTTCTAGGTGATATGGCATGTGCGTACACGCAGAAAAATACATACTATATACAAGTAAATATTACTTGTTTCAAGTATTTCAAAAGTTCATATATCCGCAAATCTATCATAAGTTCATCACAAGCATCAAATTTATTCAAAATATATTCTGAATCCTAGTAAATTAAATACTTCAATCAAGAATATTAAATTATATAATTGAAAGAAATAAATGCACTAAATTTTTCTGATCTAATAAATTTTCTTACATTAAATTGACCATATAAGATAACTGTTACCTAAAAGAAGTAAAGTAAACTGAGTAATCATTTTACTTAGCAATAGAATAATATTTTTCTGTGCGTATATAATAATTTAATTTGGGAAATATAAATCTCTCACTTATATCTTTAATCACTTAATTTTTGCCACGTGGAAAGATAAGCTTAATATTAGAATATCTTATCGTAGTAATAATTAAACAGAGATATGATACTCTTTCTAATAACAGATGCGATATATCGATTACAAGGTTATAGTCTTCGCGAGATCATTTGCGATTAAAAATATCCGAGCGGATTAATTATTGCTTGTTTCTCTTTCTTTCTCTCTCTTTTACATCAATTGTTCGCAGAAGCGATCGTGACTTAGCGCACGCTAAAGCTAATTAACATTAAGAAGCGCGTTTGCGAATGCGATCATTTTGAATATTGCGTGACTGGGCTCTCTTAGTCGATGCTTGCGCGAGATTACGACACGGTATTACGTTACACCGAAATGCTATTCAACGTGCAATTTTGATTTCATGCCACTCAAGAAATTCCTCAATAATCGTTATACGTTCAACACCTCTCTCAATTAAAGACCTTTCAATATCAAATATTGATCATTAATATCATGTCATTGTAGTATCTCTCACCTCCCTTCTTCAATCATAACTTTTACACAGATGTGGCTGACGCGATAATATATATATGTATGTTTTTAATTTTATATCCAATAATTTTACAACAGTACTATTTTATTTTCCCGATAAATCTAGAGTGCCAGATGCATCTGTACAGCCTGCCGTCGAATGATCTGGATAAAGAATTTACGACTGCCGAGAAAAACGTTACTCAGAAATAGAAGTTAATGCAGCATCTCCTTTCTCTCTCTCTCTTTCTCTACACGAGCAACATTTTAATCGTGATTAATATTGTTCTCCAGCTGCAACTAACGGAGAAACATTGTTCGCCGCCATGTAGGCGAGATTGATCACTCACATTTTTCTATCTGCATAATGCAATGAAATTACAGAGGCAATCATAAGTTCGCAGATACGATCATTCTATCAAAGAGATATCTAAACTTTGATTTCAGGAAAACTATGATGTTGGCCTGCATTTAATTTTTTTTATGTTGGAAACAGGTAAAAGTAAATAAGACATAATGTAACTCTTGTTCGTGATTCCTGTTTGCCCTGTAATTTCTATTTGAAGATAATATTCGCGGGAAAAATGTAGGTAACAGGATAATATGATAAAGCAAACGAAGCTTGCTGTGAAAAAAAAAATCTAGATGCAACGACCCGCTTTGTTTCGTATCGTATTTCGCTCATTATTACTGATACAACTCGACGTATGCAGAATATATAGTTCACTAATGCTTATACTTTCAAATTCGCACGCGCGGATGTAATTAGAGAAGCACTTTGCGATAATGAATTACATTTTCGCTATTACAAATGTAACGCTTCGCATTATCGTTGATGCAATATCCCCCGATACGGTTTACCCGAGCTTACAGCTTCAATTCTATCCCCGACTCGAATAGCATTTTCTCTCTTTCGACCCTTATCGAGGCTTTCCGCGACTATAAAGGGATCGCTACACAAATCTACGATGCAACGAAACCCTCGCGATAAAGTCCATCGGTGAAAATTGTCGCGAGATAAAAGTCGCTTCAATGAGTCGAGTTTAAAGAGAAACGGGCGGCGAAGAGGCGCCAAAGTAACAGCATAAACGGGGACCACCTAGATGTAAGACCTCTTTTTACCCGGCCCATCGTGGCAACTTTATCGGTCGTAGATTAGAAATAGAATTCGTCGAGTTCGCATCTCGACGGGCAGGGCTGTTGTGGCCCTTTGCCAAGGATGTCACTCAGTTGAGTTACTTCGTCGTTTGACGTACTGATCGCCCTTGTCTCTTTGAACTGCTAATTTGTTCGACTTGCGTATTGTATTTCTCTTTTGCAGCGTTAAATTTTTCGTAACCGATTCTTCGATTGATCCAGAGTCGATTTTTTTCTTCATATATGTCGCGATATCGATAACCTTTGAGATATTATAAATTATTCTAAGATTATAATAGCCTAAGCTTGAGAAATTAAAGAATATAATTTTATATATATATTTAAATTCAAACATTAAACAAAATTTATATTGATCAGAAAAATCGATAATCTTGAATATAATAATGGAGTAAAATT